GTGAGGTGGAGCCCCGCCAGGAGCCGAGGATCCACTGATGACCGATGGAGGGGCGTCTTCTCCGGAGGAAATTCCTGCCCCAGCCCTGCTCTGCCTCCTTCCCGGGTCCCAGGACTCGCCGGGATGCCACGGAGCCGCCGTTACCTTCAACCTCCTGCGCCTGCTCCCCTGGGACCTGAAGCTGGGGGCTCCCTCCCGGCCTTGTCTCTGATCCCGCGACTGCTCCGCAGGACCCGCGGCTCTGCCGGCGGGTGGCTTGGAGGGCAGCTCTGTGTCGCCCTTCGGTTGAGGCCGGTCTGCAGCCAGCGGGCGCTGAGCTCAGGAGACTCTGCCGCTGCTGGCCTGACCTCAATGGCCTGCACTGGGTGCAAGATGAAGCGGGGATACCTTTCCAGTGACCACAATGGGTGCCCCTGAAGCAGGGACATTTCTGGGGAATGCATTGCCCTAAGATCTTCCAGGGGCCTTGTCTGGCAGGAAGAGACTTGAGTCCTGGGTCCACCTGGGTCGCTGACCCCTCTTCCATGGACCAGTTTCTACTTCTCTGGTTACCAGAAGCCCAGGACCCTGTCTCCCATGGCAGGTCCCACGCCCTGATTGGAACCTTTAGAGTCTGCCTGGAGATTCTATGAATCTGTGACTCCTGGGGAGGCCTCATCCCCTAAGGGATTTGGCAGTGAAAGGGCCCAAAGTCCTTAGGTTACTGCAGTATTTTGGATTCTGTTACCCATGTGTCTTTTGTATTTGTGAAATCCCTGTGTAATTTGCTATTCTGTCTTCCCATGTTAATTGATTGCCATTATTAAATGTTCTTGCATTTACATTGATTGTCCCCCTGTGATCATTCTGAGGGGCACTTTTCAGTTAAAAACCCTGAGCCAGAGAAATCAGGTGACTTGAGTTTCAATTCAGACCCTGCCACTTAATTATGGTGTGACTGGGCAAATTACTTCTCTCTGAGCCTCAGTTTCCTCATCTGTATAATGGCATAATTATCTTTCCCTTGAAAAGGAGTAACGTCCATTGAAATCCTGTGTATAAAGCTTCCAGCTGAGGCCATAGGATGGTCTTAATTAATGGTCTCTATTAAATAACCACACACATAAATACACAAACAATTGCACTTTTTTATTTGTCCAAGTCTGTGGGCTGAGGATCTTTGCTGCTAACTGCAGGGCTCTCTGCCAAGGTCACACAGCTAGTGAGGGTCAGAGCCAGGTCTGAATCCCACACCTTTAGCTCCATAGCCCATGCTCTTAACCACCTCACTGAACTTCCTCTCTAAGAAAAACAAGAATGAAGTTTAGGAATTTTGAGATCCTATGTCCATTTTCAGAATTCGCTATTGATGCAATGCCTCCTCCCCTGGGTTAAGGCCCCTGCAATGGACAGAAACTGCCCAATGCCCTGGGAGGCGACTTGGGCACATCCCTTTTCTTGGCTTTGAGTATTTTTGTGCATCAGAGCTCAATTTTCCCAGTTCCAGGGGATTCTTCAGGCCCCTCAGTCAGTGCAACCCCCTGTCCATTCTCTCCCTGGAATTATGAATAATGGGAAAAGGGGTTGGGGTGGGAGTCAGTGTCAAAAAGTACTTGGGACCTTCTGTGCAAGAAATTTATCTCCGTGTCCTGAAGATGTAGCTACACAGAAGCTGGTGCGTATAGTGGTTATTGTCTGGGTGTCAGAGAAAACTTGGTTCAAATGCTGCCCTCACCACCTATTTGCTGTGTGACCTTGGGCTGACCTCTTAAGATCTCTGAGTCCCTGTCTTTCTTTCTTTCTTTCTTTCTTTCTTTCTTTCTTTCTTTCTTTCTTTCTTTCTTTCTTTTCTTATTATTTATTATTTTAAGAAACTGACTTTTTAAAAAAATTTATTGATTTTTTGAGAGTGAGCGAGAGAGAGAAACGTGGACTTTTTGCTCCACTCAGCTGTGTATTCATTGGTTGATTGTTGCATGGGCTCTGACAGACCAAACACAAACCTCGGTATATGGGAAGGATGCTCTAAGCAACTGAGCAATGGCCAGCGGTAGAGATTTCATTTTTTAAAAAAATACGTCTTTATTGATTTCAGAGAGAGGAAGGGAGAGGGAGAGAGAGATAGAAACATCAATGATGGGAGTCATTGATCAGCTGCCTCCTGCACGCCCCCGACTGGGGATGGAGCGCTCAACCGGGGTATGTGCCCTGACTGGGAATTGAACCCCCATCGCCTAGATCCTAGGTCGACACTCAGCCGCTGAGCCACACCCGGCCAGGTGAGACTTGGTTTTTAAAACAGGTCCTAACACTAAGCTTCAAGCGGGTTCTACCAACGTTACTCCATATTTTAAATGTAGGCAAAGTACAGTGTGCCTTTGATGTTACTGCAGGTTCAATACCACACTGTGGCAAAGCCTCGGAGATGGGGTGACACATACAGCACTTGCCAAAGAGGGGGGGTCTTTCTTTTCCTTCTGCGTTCTCTGCTCCCCCTCAGACCTTCACGTAGCTCCCTCTCACTGCCTTTAAGTCTTGGCTCAAATGTGATTCTTCAGACCCCACAGTCAATGCACCCCCCTCCTATACTTTAAGCGCTTTCCTTTTCTGTCACCTGCTGTGACATACACCACGCAGACCCCTCCCTCCCACTCTCCCTTTCTCCTCTCTAGTAAAAGGCTCCAGCAAGTGTTGTTTTATGGGATTTTTTTCAAGGCTCTTTTCCTGGCACCTTGAGCAGAGCCTGACACAAAGTGGGGCCTGAGTAATACTTGGTGAATGAATGAAGATGTTTGTCACAAACTGAGCAGGGTCCCTTGAAGTCCTTGGCCCTGTCCCAGTTCCCTAGCAGAGCCTCCTATTCCTGGGTCCCTCTGTGTCTAGACAATTAAAGACGTTAGTCAAGCCCCTGCCTGCACTGGGGTATCCTGCAGAAAGACAGGTCCCTCTGTCCCCTCCCATCAGGGGCTGAGGCTGCCCCTCCGGAGACTCCTCTTAGGACGTCACTGCAGTGGGTGCACCTGAGCCTGCGTCACTTTCTCTTTCCCTCCAGCTGCTCACCTGGCCCCAGGCCCCGCCCCCACGGGCTTCCCCAGCCCCGGGCTCCCCTAGTGGCTGGTGTGTTTTCCCTTTTCCTACATCAGCTGGGATTGCCCAGGTGTCCAGGCTAAAAGATGCACCAGGGAGCTCAGGCAGGATTCACATCGCAGCAGAGATGCAAGTTCAGACACACACAGAGCAGCGGCCTGAGACCCAGAAGAAGAGACTGAGGTCTGGACACCAAACAAGGCTGAGTGAGACCTGGGTGACAGCCTCTGAGAGGACACTTGGATCCCCACCTGCTGAGAAAAACCCGAGACCAGAGGCCAGGATGAAGCTGGGTGAGCCCCCATCATTGTCCGCGACCCCCTCCCACAGCCTCCACCCGCAGCCCCTGAAACTGTCCCCTCATCTGTCCATCCTTCCCTAACACAGACTTGACTGTGGGTTGCACGCTGGTGCTGCTGCTGCTGACCGCGGTGCTGAGCGGGGCAGGAGCCGTTCCTGTCCCTGAGCCCCTCAGGACGCTCCCGGGTGCAAGGGGCTGCCACATGGCCCAGTTCAAGTCTCTGTCCCCACAAGAGATGAAGGCCTTCAAGAGGGCCAAGGACGCCTTGGTGAGTGTCCCCACTGCCCCACCTGCTGTGGGCTAGCCTCCCCGCTCCCTCCGTGGGTCACAGGGCTCCATGTGGCTCAAGGTGGACCTGGACCCTCCTTGTCTGGCTAAGGTCCAGCCTTCCCACAGGGCTCTGTCCCGCTCTGGCTGCAGGGCGCTGACTCGGGTTCTTCTGCATGGGAGAAGCCTCTGCCATCCTTTGGGGGTTAAGGCCCTGCTCCTGTGTTAGCCCCCCTCCAACCCCACTGCAGAGGTCAAGCTGCAGCCCAGGCTGTGGCTGACCTGTGCCCTTGCCGTCCAGGAGGAGGCGCTCCTGCTGAAGAGCTGGAGCTGCAGCGCCCGCCCCTTCCCCAGGACCCGGGACCTGAGGCAGCTGCAGGTGAGTTGGGAGAGTCAGGCCCAGCCCTGCCCTCACCTGGGCCCGCTCCTCTGGCTCTGAGGTGGCCCCTTCGCCGCCTCTTCTCACTGGCCCTGTCTCTCTGTCCCCCCAGCAGGCCCCTGGCCTCCTCCCCTGGCCTGCCCACATTGGCCTTCCCTGTCCCCTCTCTCCTGACCTTGCCCTTCACCTGCTCCCTCCTGGGTCCTCCTCACCTGACCCTCCTCACCTGTCCTCTCACGTGCAGCTCTCACCTGTCCCTGTGTCCCCTCCTCAGGTGTGGGAGCGCCCTGTGGCCTTGGAGGCTGAGCTGGACCTCACACTGGAGGTCCTGGCGACTGTGGCTAACTCGACCCTGGGGGACATCCTGGACCAACCCCTTCACATGCTGCGCCACATCCACTCCCATCTGCAGGCCTGTGTGAGTGCCCTGGGCTCCCTCCCAGGCCATGTCTGTGGGCTCCCACCACCCATATGTCCCCCTCTGCCCCTGGCCCTCCTCACACGCCCTCCTCTGCCCACAGCTCCCAGCTCAGCCCAGAGCAGGCGCCAGGCCCCGGGGCCACCTCCGCCACTGGCTCCACCGCCTCCAGGAGGCTCGGGACAAGGTGAGTGCCCAGGGAGTGACCAGTGTCTGGGGACCACCGGGGGCCCCGATGATGGACAGACACCAACCTGTACCTGTCCCTTCCTCTCACAGGAGTCCCGTGGCTGCCTTGAAGCCTCTGTCACATTCAACCTGTTCCGCCTCCTCACCCGTGACCTGAAATGTGTTGCTGATGGAGACCTGTGTGTCTGACCCGAGACCCGCCTGCACCTGTCCCAGCGACTTAGATTTTATTTATGCATCCCCGACTCTTCTTAATTTATTGCCACCCAACCACTATTTATTTATTTATGTGTGTGAATTATCAAACTCACAGAAGATAAAATATTTATTTTTCTACTTTTTGTACAAATTGTGCAAATAAACAATGAGGACAAGATGCTGTTTGTGCTGTGGGATGTGTGTGCTTGTGTGGGTTGGATCTTCAGGGTTGGTCTGGAGGAGACCCGATTCGTGCGCCCACTGTGGTGCTGACCCACGCGCCCTGGACCAGCCTTAGTTCCCCAAATGCCTCCTCTGAGGGTCTGTGAATTTCTGACCCGACTTGAGTAGGTGTGATTTCTGAGGCCTTTGGGGAACATAGATGTCGAAGATCCCAGTTGCAGTCCCGCGCCACTTAACCACGGGGTTTTGTTCTGAGAAATGCCCCATTAGGCGATTCTGCCCTGTGGGGACATCACAGAGCGCGTTTCCCACGGAGAGATGGCGCGGCCCGCACGCGCCTCGGCTCTATGGTAGAGCCCACTGCCCCCGGGCTCAAGCCCGCACAGCAGGTCACTGTGCTGAGTCCTGGAGGCAGGGGTCACACAATGGTAAGTATTTGTGCATCTAAACACAGCAAAGGCACAGTAAAAATATGGTATAAAAGATAACAAATGGTTCACCTGCACAGGGCACGTGCCAGGAAGGGAACCTGCGGGACTGAAGTTGGTCTGGGTGAGTCAGTGAGTGAGGCGCGAGGGAATGTGAAGGCCGGGACACTACTGTCCTCTACTGTGGACTTTAGGAAGTCTGCACATTTAGGCCACACTAATGTATAAAACAACAGGACACTGTCCAGCTGGGCGTGGCTCAGCGGTTGAG